GGAAGAAGACCATGGAGCTCACCGCCCGCTGACCAGAGTCAAGCAGGGGCCGGTCTTTCAGCCCCTGCTCCACAGAGGAAAAGACAACAGGATAGGGGCCAGCAGATGGCATAATGGTTACATCACTGGACTTTCACGTGGTCGACCATGGTTCAAGTCCTGGACCCAATGGCTTAAAACTCATGCCGGGCGCGTGTGTGTGCGTGTCCAAGGTCGTGAGAGGAGAATGGAGGAGAAGGGATTGTGATGTGGCCATCCCCCCGGGGGGACTGATTTCTCACTTTCTGTCTCCATCTCTCTGTCTCTCCAGCAAGTGTACGTGCCCTATAGCAAATATCTCTAAAAAAAAAAACAAAAACAAAAACAAAAACAAAAAACAGAAAAAAAGACAACAGGGTGATAGCGAAGCTTCCTTCCCTGAGCTAGACCCTTGGCTGTGGAGAAGGAGCCTGATCCCCAGGCTGTGCAGTTAGAGTTGGGGGCAGGAATCCATGATGAGACCGTCAGGGTGATGGCTGGGGTCTGGAAGGAAGCAGCTCTTTCTGGGACAAAGCAGACCCCACTGGCATGAGGCCAACTTCAGAGGTCGTGAGCACAGTGCCAAACATGTAGGCTTCCCAGGGCCAGGCCAGAAAGGGGTGGCCTGCAATTTGCATCTGCCACCCTCTCCAGCTCCTCCTCAAGGTCCAAAAGAATCCCAGCCTCTAGAAAAGCAGAAGCAGACCCTCCCCCGGAGCTCCTCAGGAGGGAGACTGAGTGCCTCCTCAGGTTCACTGAGTGCCACCTTATTTATTTCTGGTCAAGGACGCGTGGGTTGGGGCTGTTAGGGCTGGAGGCTTCCCAATAAACCACTGAGACCCATGTTTGCTTCTCTCTCCCCTCCCCCAGAGCTCCTTCCTGGGACAGTCTGGCTCCTCACCTGTCCTCTTCATCACTCTACACCCTCTCCCACCATCTCCACAAGGTACCTGGGGACACTAGGACAAATCCTCTAGAAGGAAAGAGAGAGACGCTGAGGCCAGGAGAAGCCTCGAGAATCCAAAAGACAGGAGCCAGAGAGGGCTGGCCCTGTAGTACAGTGGTAAATCACTGTCCTTGGGAGCCAGGTCCCACATGGCCAACTGCAGTTTGAATCCTGGCCTTTGTGGCTTCAAAAACAAGCCAGGTGCATTTCTGAGTGTGCCCCAAAATGAAAGGGAAAAGGTGGTGTTGTGACCACATCCCACTGAGGGGTGCTTTCTCGCCCTCTTCCTGGAGACAGTGTGTGCCCTCGGACAGTAAGAAGGACAGAGCCAGAGAGGTCTAGAGGTCAGGCAGGAGGGGGGCCTCGGCACTTCCCCCTCGCACACTCTCCCTCACGTGCCCTCTCTCAGCTATGTCAAGTCCCTGCCACTTGAGGAGGGCCTGCCAGGCACCAGTGACAGGATGTGCCAGGCAGGGTGGAGAAACGAGCCAACTGCAGTCTCTTGAGATGCCAAGGGGATGACCAGCCAGTGGTCACGAGGAGGTGCCCTGGGCTCCTCTGCACAGTGTTTCCGAGGTGCCATACGTGGAGCCCGAGCTCGGAGCACATGTACTAACCCCAAGACCTCTGTGCTGAGGGGGAGCGGCCCCGTCCCCTCCCCACATGGAAGCCATGCCGGGCCCAGCCCTTCTCAAGCTTCCTCTCTCCCTCCACCACAGCCCCTCTGGGGCTGTAGCCCTGGCCTTGCCTGCTCTTGTCCCTTGGCCACACTCCTTGGGAAACCTCCTTCGACTTTCTGCACCTCCATCTCTTCATCTGTCAGATGCGGATAAAAGTGCCTCCCTCCCAGGGTGGTGGTGGGGATCGACTGAGATGGGGGAATAAGACGCCTGGGACCGGGCAGCTCCGTGAGGAAAGGCTGTAAGTCATGACACGAACAGCCCAGGACACAGCCTAGCACAGCCCAGTTAAGGAGCCCAGCTTGGAGCTGGTAACCCGAGTTCAAATCTTGCCATGCAACTTTAGGTAACAAGCTTCCTGAGCTTTAATTACCCCATCTCTAAAATAGAATGCTTCAGCCTCCCTCAGGGCTGTTGTGAGGAGAAAATGGGACACAGGACGGACGTAAAATGCTTGCACTAAGAGGGCCAACCACCTCAAAATGAGTGCTCGGTAAAGTAGCGTGAAGAAACCAGCAGGCGCGGCTCACCTGGGGCCTGGGCAGCACAGCACACACCTCTGCTCCCTGCAGGAGTGAGCCTGGCCTCCTGCCTCTAGTATGGGAACCTTTCCCCTCAGTCTTCAGTTTTGCCTCAGAAGAAGAGAGACCAGCAGGTCAAAGGCCTGACGGTTGGGGGTTGGGGAAGTTACACCCCCGGTTGGCTGGCTGGCAAGGAGCCACCCTGGGGCTGGAGGTGAGGAGGGCAGGCATCTGTACATGGGAGCCGCAAGCGCTCCAGTCCTGCCTGCCCGCCTTGTAGGCTTGCCGTGAACACCAGATGGCAGAGTGTGTGTGAGGGCCTTCGGTCCCGGCCCCGATAAAGGAACAGCACTCCCAACCCCAATCATCCCCACCCTCACCTTCCCACATCCAGCCTGAGCCAGGCTGGGGGAGCCTGACTGCAGATGCTAACTCTGGCCAGCAGGGGGAGACCTCGCCCGCCGAATCCACAGTCGCTGTGCTTCCTCTTGCACAAGTCCAGGGTCTGAGCTCTAACCAGATAAGGGGTAGGGAGGGATAGGGTGAGAGTGGACCCCAAACTCGGGTCCCTGGGTGCACCAGGAAGAAGCCCACACCATTGCCCAGAAGAGGTTGCAGAATAGAGGGAAGTCCTTCCCCTCTCAGTCTCCAGAATATTCAGGGGCAGGTACAGGCTTGACCTCTCCTTTGAGCCCAGCAATTTACATGCCTTTCTCTGATGGGCCCCAAGGGAGTACATGACAGGGTGAATGTTGAACCCAAGGGAAACAGACCCTCGGGGATGGATGGAGCAGCCAATCAGAGAGAGTTCAGGTCCTTGAGCTTCCTGCAGGTGACAGCTGTCCAGCAACTGGGTAAAGGTCCAACTAGGACTTTGGGCTGAATTGCACTGATTGGGGCCATTTTGCCAGCAGGGGGCGCTGTGCTCCCACATCTGATCTTCCCAAGGTGTGCGGGCTCACAAAGGCCTGAGCATACACCAGCACATGTACTAACCCCAAGACCTCTGGGGTTCAGATCCACATGCTGAACTTCCATTGTACCCAAGGGGCTGCATCTCCTTGGTCTGTGTCTCCCCTTCCTTCAGCACAGACACGTTCATTCCCAGTGTGCTGAGCCATCTCCACCCTCCTTACCACTCGCTCTCCCGGGGCTCCTGGGGTCCAGACCTACAAGCTAGTGCATGTTCTCAGCGAGGTACACACGTGAGCACCTATACCCAAGCACACACGTGCTCAGTCACCTCTCAGGACAGACTCTCTGCTCCACCTAAAGTCGGAACCAAGGAAGAGCCCTGATTCTCCTGCAAGGGGTCTTCCTCTTCTCCTCCTTCCCATCCTCAACTCCCCAAGAGGCTACCAGTTTTCACCAGGTAGATGGTGGCCGCAGTGATGTGGGTGATGGAGGAGGACTGGAGGTAAAGGTGGAGAATGGACAGAGGGTTGGCCATCCAGAGATGGACAGGATGGGCTGCTTGGAGGATCAGATCTCTCTGCCCCTCTCAGCCTCAGCTTCCTCCTCCACCAACTGTAGATGAGGATTACTGACTCCTACTCACTCCACATTTTGTGGGGATCAGGGAGATGATGCACAGGAAGCCACCTCAAATCCCTTCCCTTTCTGTCGTGCTTCCTTTTTTTAATTTTTTAAAAATAATAATTTGTTTAAAGAGGTTTTTGCTATAGGGCATGTGCGCTTGCCAGAAAGACAGAGAGAGACAGAGGACAGGAAGCGAGAAATCATCCCCTGGGGGGATGGCCATGCCACAATCACTTCTCCATTCTCTTCTCAGGACGTTGGGCATGCATGCACCGGTGCCTGGCATGAATTTAAGCCACCAGGTCTGGGACTCAAACCGCAGTCAACTACATGGGAGTCCAACAACTTAGCCATTACGCCATCTTCTGGTCCCTAAAAGTAATTATTTTATTTAACTTTATTTATTTATTAATTTAAATTTGACCAGAGAGGGACAGAGCGAGAGAGGGAGGGGAAAAGTAAGAAAGCAAGCCACCAGGCCCTGGATTCGAACCATTATCAGCCATGTGAGAGTCCAGTGCCCTCAACCACCACACCACCTGCCAGTCCTTCTGTCATGCTTTTATTCTCCCCCCTCTTCTCTCTTAATATCTTCTTTTGCCTTCCTCCTGCTTCCCCAAGCTCCAAAAGGACCTCAGTCAGAGTTCACGTTGACAGACAGCTGCAGACGGCCAGGTGTGGGGCCTTGGCAAAAGATCTCTGAGCATGAGTGAGCCCCAAGGTTGGCTAGAGTCCAGCACTGGCTGAGTCCAGGGTAGTACAGGCTGCAGCAGGCAAAGCCAGGGCTGGAGCAAGCTCTGGTCAACACGTACCTGGCCTCAGGGGGTGAAGGACCTTGTCCCAGGCTAGGCAGGGTGCAAGGAGACCTGCTTCAGGCCAGCTGTAGAGGAGGGTAGCCACCGCACTTAGAAGGTTTAGCCTCCAGGCCCTAGGGCCGGGGGCTATAGGGGCAGCTATCCTAGAGCACGACCCTTTCCACCAGGCTCAGGCCCCACAGGTCTCACTGGAGAGGGGAGGGGTGCAATCCTAATAATCAACACATTTTTTTTTAAATAAAGAATTACTCATTTAATTTTATTTATTTATTTAATTTTAACTTGACCAGAGAGAGAAAAGGAAAATGAGAAAGCAAGCTGCCAGATCCAGGACTCAAACTATGATTGGCCATGAGAGAGTCCACACCCTAACCATCATGCCACCTGCTGGCCCCTTAAATTGACATTTTTTTAACTCAAAGCTACTATCTTAGATATTAGCAAATTTATTCCTAACACATACATGTTTTTTAGAGAGATTTTTGCTAAGTCACGTGCGCTCACCAGAGAGACAGAAACCAAGAAATCACCCCCCCGCCCGGGGGATGGTCATGCCCCAATCCCTTCTCCTTTATTCTTTTCTCGGGATCTTGGGCATGCACACCTGTCTGGCATGAGTTTTAAGCCACAGGGTTCTGGAACTCGAACTGCAGTTGACTACACGGGAGTCCTGCAATGTAACTATTATGCCAACTGCTGGTCCCCTCACACGCCTTTTAAAATAGGGATACCGAGGTCATAGAAGCAGCTACTCAAGGGTGCAATATACGCAGCACAGTTCAAAATGCTTTCGCTTGTCATCAAAAGCTTTCAACAGCCCCAGCCTGGTGGCACAGTTGCCAGCAAACGACTGCAGTGCTGGAAGCCATATGGCTGTCCACAGGTTTGGATCTCCAGGTCAGTCTGAAAACAAGCCAGGAGTGTGTGGGCTCTCGAGACCCTGAAGAGCCAGAGGGCTGAGAATCACTGTCGACAGTCCTCTCTCTCTTCCTTCTCTCTCTCTTCTCTCGCTCATGCACACACATGTGTTTTCTTTTTTTTTAAGCATTATTTAAGTTTATTTATTCATTCGTTTATTTTTAATTTGACCAGAGAGAGACACAGAGAAAGAGAGAAAGTGAGAAAGCAAGCCCCCAGGTCCAGGACTCAAACCATGGTTAGCCATGTGGGAGTGTCCAGCACCTTAACCACCACGCCACACACTGGTCCCCATGCATATGTTTTCTATCATGAATAAACTAAAAACTTCTCAAGAATGCACTCAACAGGTGTTTGGTGCCCATTTTACAGACGCAGGAATAGGCAAGATCAGCTGGAGGGGCTAGTGTCTGTACCAGGCCCTCCACTGCCCTAAGGAACGAAGGACAGGGGAGCCCTTGAGGTGGCCCTGGGACAGCCCCCAGACAGAGAGCCCACCATGCCACAGAGGAAGGGCATCCATGCTGCCCCCACGGCCACTCTCCAACATTCCTTGAGCATTTATTGAATGACTCTTGGTGCCAGATAGGGACGGAAGTCTGTCCTGGAACAGCGGAGTCATTGAAGAAGAGGAAGGCACAACCAGACCTGGTTCTGCTCAAGCCTGACTTCTCTGGATGAAGTGTGCTTGACTCTGCTGGGGAAGGAAATCAGGGCAGGGTTCATGGAGGAGCTGCACTTGAACAGTCTTAAAAGAGACAGGGAGAGGGAACCAGCAGTTAGCGTAATGGCTATGTCGCTGGACTCCCACGTAGTCGACCGCGGTCCGTGTCCCGGACCTGGTGGCTTAAAACTCCCCCCGGGCGCGTGTGCGTGCGTGCCCAAGATCC